CCTGAGTGTTAGAGCCCCTGAGTGTTAGAGCCCCTGAGTGTTAGAGCCCCTGAGTGTTAGAGCCCCTGAGTGTTAGAGCCCCTGAGTGTTAGAGCCCCTGAGTGTTAGAGCCCCTGAGTGTTAGAGCCCCTGAGTGTTAGAGCCCCTGAGTGTTAGAGCCCCTGAGTGTTAGAGCCCCTGAGTGTTAGAGCCCCTGAGTGTTAGAGCCCCTGAGTGTTAGAGCCCCTGAGTGTTAGAGCCCCTGAGTGTTAGAGCCCCTGAGTGTTAGAGCCCCTGAGTGTTAGAGCCCCTGAGTGTTAGAGCCCCTGAGTGTTAGAGCCCCTGAGTGTTAGAGCCCCTGAGTGTTAGAGCCCCTGAGTGTTAGAGCCCCTGAGTGTTAGAGCCCCTGAGTGTTAGAGCCCCTGAGTGTTAGAGCCCCTGAGTGTTAGAGCCCCTGAGTGTTAGAGCCCCTGAGTGTTAGAGCCCCTGAGTGTTAGAGCCCCTGAGTGTTAGAGCCCCTGAGTGTTAGAGCCCCTGAGTGTTAGAGCCCCTGAGTGTTAGAGCCCCTGAGTGTTAGAGCCCCTGAGTGTTAGAGCCCCTGAGTGTTAGAGCCCCTGAGTGTTAGAGCCCCTGAGTGTTAGAGCCCCTGAGTGTTAGAGCCCCTGAGTGTTAGAGCCCCTGAGTGTTAGAGCCCCTGAGTGTTAGAGCCCCTGAGTGGTTAGAGCCCCTGAGTGTTAGAGCCCCTGAGTGTTAGAGCCCCTGAGTGTTAGAGCCCCTGAGTGTTAGAGCCCCTGAGTGTTAGAGCCCCTGAGTGTTAGAGCCCCTGAGTGTTAGAGCCCCTGAGTGTTAGAGCCCCTGAGTGTTAGAGCCCCTGAGTGTTAGAGCCCCTGAGTGTTAGAGCCCCTGAGTGTTAGAGCCCCTGAGTGTTAGAGCCCCTGAGTGTTAGAGCCCCTGAGTGTTAGAGCCCCTGAGTGTTAGAGCCCCTGAGTGTTAGAGCCCCTGAGTGTTAGAGCCCTGAGTGTTAGAGCCCCTGAGTGTTAGAGCCCCTGAGTGTTAGAGCCCCTGAGTGTTAGAGCCCCTGAGTGTTAGAGCCCCTGAGTGTTAGAGCCCCTGAGTGTTAGAGCCCCTGAGTGTTAGAGCCCCTGAGGGTGTTAGAGCCCCTGAGTGTTAGAGCCCCTGAGTGTTAGAGCCCCTGAGTGTTAGAGCCCCTGAGTGTTAGAGCCCCTGAGTGTTAGAGCCCCTGAGTGTTAGAGCCCCTGAGTGTTAGAGCCCCTGAGTGTTAGAGCCCCTGAGTGTTAGAGCCCCTGAGTGTTAGAGCCCCTGAGTGTTAGAGCCCCTGAGTGTTAGAGCCCCTGAGTGTTAGAGCCCCTGAGTGTTAGAGCCCCTGAGTGTTAGAGCCCCTGAGTGTTAGAGCCCCTGAGTGTTAGAGCCCCTGAGTGTTAGAGCCCCTGAGTGTTAGAGCCCCTGAGTGTTAGAGCCCCTGAGTGTTAGAGCCCCTGAGTGTTAGAGCCCCTGAGTGTTAGAGCCCCTGAGTGTTAGAGCCCCTGAGTGTTAGAGCCCCTGAGTGTTAGAGCCCCTGAGTGTTAGAGCCCCTGAGTGTTAGAGCCCCTGAGTGTTAGAGCCCCTGAGTGTTAGAGCCCCTGAGTGTTAGAGCCCCTGAGTGTTAGAGCCCCTGAGTGTTAGAGCCCCTGAGTGTTAGAGCCCCTGAGTGTTAGAGCCCCTGAGTGTTAGAGCCCCTGAGTGTTAGAGCCCCTGAGTGTTAGAGCCCCTGAGTGTTAGAGCCCCTGAGTGTTAGAGCCCCTGAGTGTTAGAGCCCCTGAGTGTTAGAGCCCCTGAGTGTTAGAGCCCCTGAGTGTTAGAGCCCCTGAGTGTTAGAGCCCCTGAGTGTTAGAGCCCCTGAGTGTTAGAGCCCCTGAGTGTTAGAGCCCCTGAGTGTTAGAGCCCCTGAGTGTTAGAGCCCCTGAGTGTTAGAGCCCCTGAGTGTTAGAGCCCCTGAGTGTTAGAGCCCCTGAGTGTTAGAGCCCCTGAGTGTTAGAGCCCCTGAGTGTTAGAGCCCCTGAGTGTTAGAGCCCCTGAGTGTTAGAGCCCCTGAGTGTTAGAGCCCCTGAGTGTTAGAGCCCCTGAGTGTTAGAGCCCCTGAGTGTTAGAGCCCCTGAGTGTTAGAGCCCCTGAGTGTTAGAGCCCCTGAGTGTTAGAGCCCCTGAGTGTTAGAGCCCCTGAGTGTTAGAGCCCCTGAGTGTTAGAGCCCCTGAGTGTTAGAGCCCCTGAGTGTTAGAGCCCCTGAGTGTTAGAGCCCCTGAGTGTTAGAGCCCCTGAGTGTTAGAGCCCCTGAGTGTTAGAGCCCCTGAGTGTTAGAGCCCCTGAGTGTTAGAGCCCCTGAGTGTTAGAGCCCCTGAGTGTTAGAGCCCCTGAGTGTTAGAGCCCCTGAGTGTTAGAGCCCCTGAGTGTTAGAGCCCCTGAGTGTTAGAGCCCCTGAGTGTTAGAGCCCCTGAGTGTTAGAGCCCCTGAGTGTTAGAGCCCCTGAGTGTTAGAGCCCCTGAGTGTTAGAGCCCCTGAGTGTTAGAGGCCCCTGAGTGTTAGAGCCCCTGAGTGTTAGAGCCCCTGAGTGTTAGAGCCCCTGAGTGTTAGAGCCCCTGAGTGTTAGAGCCCCTGAGTGTTAGAGCCCCTGAGTGTTAGAGCCCCTGAGTGTTAGAGCCCCTGAGTGTTAGAGCCCCTGAGTGTTAGAGCCCCTGAGTGTTAGAGCCCCTGAGTGTTAGAGCCCCTGAGTGTTAGAGCCCCTGAGTGTTAGAGCCCCTGAGTGTTAGAGCCCCTGAGTGTTAGAGCCCCTGAGTGTTAGAGCCCCTGAGTGTTAGAGCCCCTGAGTGTTAGAGCCCCCTGAGTGTTAGAGCCCCTGAGTGTTAGAGCCCCTGAGTGTTAGAGCCCCTGAGTGTTAGAGCCCCTGAGTGTTCGAGCCCCTGAGTGTTAGAGCCCCTGAGTGTTAGAGCCCCTGAGTGTTAGAGCCCCGAGTGTTAGGCCCCTGAGTGTTAGAGCCCTGAGTGTTAGAGCCCCTGAGTGTTAGAGCCCTGAGTGTTAGAGCCCCTGAGTGTTAGAGCCCCTGAGTGTTAGAGCCCCTGAGTGTTAGAGCCCCTGAGTGTTAGAGCCTGATGTGTTGTTAGAGCCCCTGAGTGTTAGAGCCCCCTGAGTGTTAGAGCCCCTGAGGTTAGAGCCCCTGAGTGTTAGAGCCCCTGAGTGTTAGAGCCCTGAGTGTTAGAGCCCCTGAGTGTTAGAGCCCTGAGTGTTAGAGCCCCTGAGTGTTAGAGCCCCTGAGTGTTAGAGCCCCTGAGTGTTAGAGCCCCTGAGTGTTAGAGCCCCTGAGTGTTAGAGCCCCTGAGTGTTAGAAGCCCCTGAGTGTTAGAGCCCCTGAGTGTTAGAGCCCCTGAGTGTTAGAGCCCCTGAGTGTTAGAGCCCCTGAGTGTTAGAGCCCCCTGAGTGTTAGAGCCCCTGAGTGTTAGAGCCCCTGAGTGTTAGAGCCCCTGAGTGTTAGAGCCCCTGAGTGTTAGAGCCCCTGAGTGTTAGAGCCCCTGAGTGTTAGAGCCCCTGAGTGTTAGAGCCCCTGAGTGTTAGAGCCCCTGAGTGGTTAGAGCCCCTGAGTGTTAGAGCCCCTGAGTGTTAGAGCCCCTGAGTGTTAGAGCCCCTGAGTGTTAGAGCCCCTGAGTGTTAGAGCCCCTGAGTGTTAGAGCCCCTGAGTGTTAGAGCCCCTGAGTGTTAGAGCCCCTGAGTGTTAGAGCCCCTGAGTGTTAGAGCCCCTGAGTGTTAGAGCCCCTGAGTGTTAGAGCCCCTGAGTGTTAGAGCCCCTGAGTGTTAGAGCCCCTGAGTGTTAGAGCCCCTGAGTGTTAGAGCCCCTGAGTGTTAGAGCCCCTGAGTGTTAGAGCCCCTGAGTGTTAGAGCCCCTGAGTGTTAGAGCCCCTGAGTGTTAGAGCCCCCTGGGTTAGAGCCCCTGAGTGTTAGAGCCCCTGAGTGTTAGAGCCCCTGAGTGTTAGAGCCCCTGAGTGTTAGAGCCCCTGAGTGTTAGAGCCCCTGAGTGTTAGAGCCCCCTGAGTGGTTAGAGCCCCTGAGTGTTAGAGCCCCTGAGTGTTAGAGCCCCCTGAGTGTTAGAGCCCCTGAGTGTTAGAGCCCCTGAGTGTTAGAGCCCCTGAGTGTTAGAGCCCCTGAGTGTTAGAGCCCCTGAGTGTTAGAGCCCCTGAGTGTTAGAGCCCCTGAGTGTTAGAGCCCCTGAGTGTTAGAAGCCCCTGAGTGTTAGAGCCCCTGAGTGTTAGAGCCCCTGAGTGTTAGAGCCCCTGAGTGTTAGAGCCCCTGAGTGTTAGAGCCCCTGAGTGTTAGAGCCCCTGAGTGTTAGAGCCCCTGAGTGTTAGAGCCCCTGAGTGTTAGAGCCCCTGAGTGTTAGAGCCCCTGAGTGTTAGAGCCCCTGAGTGTTAGCGCCCCTGAGTGTTAGAGCCCCTGAGTGTTAGAGCCCCTGAGTGTTAGAGCCCCTGAGTGTTAGAGCCCCTGAGTGTTAGAGCCCCTGAGTGTTAGAGCCCCTGAGTGTTAGAGCCCCTGAGTGTTAGAGCCCCTGAGTGTTAGAGCCCCTGAGTGTTAGAGCCCCTGAGTGTTAGAGCCCCTGAGTGTTAGAGCCCCTGAGTGTTAGAGCCCCTGAGTGTTAGAGCCCCTGAGTGTTAGAGCCCCTGAGTGTTAGAGCCCCTGAGTGTTAGAGCCCCTGAGTGTTAGAGCCCCTGAGTGTTAGAGCCCCTGAGTGTTAGAGCCCCTGAGTGTTAGAGCCCCTGAGTGTTAGAGCCCCTGAGTGTTAGAGCCCCTGAGTGTTAGAGCCCCTGAGTGTTAGAGCCCCTGAGTGTTAGAGCCCCTGAGTGTTAGAGCCCCTGAGTGTTAGAGCCCCTGAGTGTTAGAGCCCCTGAGTGTTAGAGCCCCTGAGTGTTAGAGCCCCTGAGTGTTAGAGCCCCTGAGTGTTAGAGCCCCTGAGTGTTAGAGCTCCTGAGTGTCCAAAGAAAATGCCGCAGTCAGCGACACATATGAGCAACCTTCCCAACGATGTTCTCTCTTATTCCCCGCTGCCACGTTCCCCATCCCCTGCAATTCCCCTCTGTCCGTTCCCCATTCCCCTGCAATTCCCCTCTGTCCGTTCCCCATTCCCCTGCAATTCCCCTCTGCACATTCCCCATTCCCCATTCCGTGCAATTCCCCTCTGTCCGTTCCCCATTCCCCTGCAATTCCCCTCTGTCCGTTCCCCATTCCCCTGCAATTCCCCTCTGCACATTCCCCATTCCCCATCCCCTGCAATTCCCCTCTGTCCGTTCCCCATTCCCCTGCAATTCCCCTCTGCCCATTCCCCATTCCCCTGCAATTCCCCTCTGCACATTCCCCATTCCCCTTTCCCGTGCAATTCCCCTCTGCCCATTCCCCATTCCCCATCCCCTGCAATTCCCCTCTGTCCGTTCCCCATTCCCCTGCAATTCCCCTCTGCACATTCCCCATTCCCCATCCCCTGCAATTCCCCTCTGTCCGTTCCCCATTCCCCTGCAATTCCCCTCTGCCCATTCCCCATTCCCCATTCCCTGCGATTCCCCTCTGCCCATTCCCCTTTTGCTGTTTTTTTTTCCTCTTAGCTGCTTTGTACACATTTTCCACAACTCCCTTCTCCATTTTTCCTCACTCCTTCTCTCCATATCTTCCTTACTCCCTATTTCCATATCTCCCTCCCTCACTCCCTCTGAACGAGAATATCGTTTCTGGTGTCAGCTGTGAGTATGTGTGCTGCTGAGCCGACCATTTGTGCTGATGCTTTTGTATCTGTATTGTGGTTGAATTCACTGCTTCCATGTTGACTCACCGCCTGACTGCTGACTTTGACGTACCGTTTGCCAGCAATGGCGTGTTTTCTTCATGTTGTTGATTCTTAAAACACCGAGTCTCAAATCAGACCGAAGTACGTTCGGCCACCCACGTCTCCCTCCGGCCTCGCTGCCGCATCTGTCTGTGTCGATCCACACCCGCTCTCCGTCCCGCTGCATAGCAGTCTCCCAGACGTGCCTGTCATTCAAGGGCCCTCAGCACCGCTTTCAACCGCCGCACATCCAGCAGTACGCCCACTTTCGCTTTTTTCTCGTATATGCTCTTTCCGTTTCTTTCCAGCGCACATAGTTCCATCTCCTCCCATCTTCTCTTTTCCTTCGTCTCCATGCATCATCTAAAAATCCTATGGCAGTTGGATTGAAGCTCCTTGGGCGCCATACAAGTGTGGATATACAGTAGTAAATGCTCTCTTCCCCTTTCCCTCCCGTTATCTCCTCTGCCCACTTTCTCCCGTTCCACCCATGTTTGCCCTATCTGCTCCCATCAGACAATCGTTTCTGAGCCCGCAGCTGTCAGCACGAGTTTCTCCAGCGGCAGTACCGTTAGCAGCAGCGACGGCAGTGTCAGTGGTGCATCTCTTGCCTCATGCTCCTCCTTTCTGCGCCCAGACGACCTGGGGGAGTGGTGCTGCGTGGGCCTGCAGAACCCGCTGCAGCAGGCAGTGCTGAGGGCAGAGCAGAGGGCAGAGCAGGGAGCAGAGCAGATGTGGGAGCAGAGGCGGGAGTAGAGGGCGGAACAGATTGCACGGGGCTTACAGACGAGTGCACAGCAGAGGGGCGGGCGTGGGTATTGAAGGCCATAAGAGGAGTGGCTTGGGGCCTTGAGTTTTGTTTGAGGCCTGGGGCCTTGCTTTCCTGCCTTGGATCCGATCGGAGAAGAGCTTTGGAAGGTTTGGAGAGGAAGTGACGAGGAGATGGTTCCAGAGGCCGGGCCAGAGCTTGCTAGGGCGCTGGGGTGCTGGGGCGCTGGGGTGTTTTAGTTACCTTTGTTACAGGGTCACTTCAACTCAGGGTCGGCCCATAACGGAAACAAGCGCGAACGTGTTAGGTCGTCGCGTGGAGCTCGAATCTTTGTTGAGAGGCTTTCGGGAACATCGCAAGCTGTTACCATGTCATGCCAGCCAGTCTCAGGCAATCAGTCGGAGTTCACCCATCCAGCCACACTAAAACAACTACTTTCCTAAGTCACCCATTCCAAATCCACGCCACTCAGAGACTTCTAAGTTCTGACTCGATGCCAACCCAATCCCGCTCGTCCCCCACCCGCCAGCTATCAGCAGGGACTTGCCAATTCCACCCCACCCACGCTGCTTGCCATACGTGAGTGGATTACTACTCATATGTGCTTACCCCTAGGCCGATTAGAGTCGCTGAGTGTTGATTTCACGTTGCGGCACTCCCGCAATCGCCATCTTCTGTCCGCGTGACTGCTCTTACGTCGCACCCGTTTTTCTAGCCTCGTTCAAATCTCCAGCTAGCCTTCAAGGTTGCTGGATTTTGTTTTCTTGATCGACCTCTCTCCACCATAATCTCGCCCAAGGAAATCCAGTCAACAACACATATGGACAGCCTTCTTAACGATGTCCTCTCTGACTCCCCTCTGCCCACACCCCATACCCTGCAATTCCCCTCTGCTCATTCCTCCTTCCTTGCGATTCCTTACCCCATTCCTCTCTGCTTATTATCCCATCTGCAGAATTCCCTTTCTCATTTCCCTCTGCCCGTTTCCCCTTTTCCCGCAATTCCTCTCTCAGTTCCTTCCAATAGTACTTATCATTATCAGGGCTGTGGCTGGTGTCTGTGCTGTGCTGTTCCGTGCTGCCAGAGCTGTTCAATGCTGGTAAAAGGGTGTTCAGATCAGTGAGGTCAGCTTGGTGACTTTAGAGTTGACTCAAAAGTCACCTGCTCTGTGCTGCCAGAGCTGTTTGATGCTGGTAATGAAGGGGGGTCAGACCAGTGAGGTCAGATTGTAAGCTGTAAGAGGTGGGCTTCCTGGGAAGTGCCGGAACCCCTGTAGCGATACACCTCCTACTGGCGAAGCAACTCAGCTCGCAGCGTTCGATCTATGCTCATAAAAGGGAATGAAGAAGAAGAGTAGAAAGACATACCTCCTGTTGGTGAACCGGAGCAACTCAGCAGACAAGTCCCATCCTGCATCCGCACCGAGATCACCCCATCATTCTTTTACCTATTCCCCCACTTGTCTTGTTTCTCACTCTTCAAGCTTCCCCGCTTCTGTTTCTTCCATTGGTGTTGTAGGCATGTTCAAGAACCACCCAGAAGATGTATTTCTACTTTCCCCTTTCCTCCCACTCCCCCTTGCCTCTCCTGTTTCTTCTTTTGGTGTTGTCTTTTCCCTCCATGTCTGGGCGTCATTCCTCGTATTGTTACCAGATGTTTCAAAACGAGTCTTCTTCCACGCCCTAAACGCCAACTTGTCTCCACCATATGTCCTTGCTATTGCATCCATGCTCCCATTCTATCCGCTCTAACTCACGTCCCTCTGGCCCAACCCATGTGCTCCACCTTGTTCATCCGCCCCTTGCTAATGCCTGCTTTAGCGCTCTCAACTCAACTTCAAAAGAGCCTGACCAGCCACAGGCTGTACCAAGCAGCTGCAGCCACACAACACAACGTCACAGAAGGAACCCCCCCTCCCCCTCCTTTGGCTTCATGTGATTCATATTGCACGACCAACACTTGTTGCTTGCCCTCCTCCAGGACCAATACCCCCCAAACGTGCCTCACCAGACGCAATAGCAGCTGGGATATTCATCATATGGGAATCATTGATGCGTTTCAACAATGGCGGTTCATGCTCGAGCTTTTGTTCAGTTCAGTCCCTGGTGTGCTCATTCCATGATCCCCCTTTCTCACATATTTACGGTGATACCCTCTCAATATCCATTAACTGCATGTCTACTGATATGACGTCCTGTCGTTCAATTAACCAGTTTGCCTCGTGTCATGAAACACCGAATTTGGAAAGAACAGCAACTGGCCACGTGATGTGATGCCATACAACACAACCCATGTATGTTGTAAAGTATGACATACCGGCAGTTTATGGGGTATCTTGAGCAAACAATATCTGTTCTGATCGCTACATCCAGCATTTCTTGAAGCATGAATACAAAGAAGCACGGTTACCAGCTGCATATGTACAATCAATGAGTCACCAGACCAGGGATGGGCAAGCAAGGTGGCAATTTCCATTGTTCCTGATACACCAGAGCAGAAGCCAGACCAGCTAGGCAATTTCCATCCTAGCAACGCCCTTGCCAACTACCGTAGAATCAGTGCCCACCATTGTTCTCTCTGGACCCTGATCCTTCCCCCCCTCGCCTTCACATCAGAAACGGGGGTCCTTCCCGCCGCACACTGGAAGTAGCACCAGAAGCACCCTCTCCCAACCTCTTCTACCACACCAGCCATTCCGATGCAGCTGTGCCACACCACCAGCCATTCCCATGCCTCTGTGCCACACCTGCCCAATTTCCGTTGTGCTCGGACCAGCACTGATGATGCACTCTGCACGATAGAATGGGCCGGGAAAGGGGAGAGACATAAAGGGAGAAAGAAAGTTGTGTGACACATCAACCTGCACCAACAAATCGCAACACACACCAAGACATCGCAACACAGACAGACACATAACATTTTGGTAAACACGAGAATCCAACCAGTACCCAATGCATTAACACACCCTGTCCCATGCTACCCCAGCAATCCTCACTGCATGCCCACACCTCCATACATCCAACCTCACAGCATGCACACACCTCCATACATCCAACCTCACTGCATGCACCCACCTCCATACATCCAACCTCACTGCATGCACCCACCTCCATACATCCAACCTCACTGCATGCACACACCTCCATCCATCCAACCTCTCTGCATGCACCCACCTCCATCCAGCCTCACCAAGTAAGTGCTGTCCGACCCTCCCACGTTCACCCGCTGTCTCCGATCCTTCCTCTTCCCAGCGATCTACCATCGATTCGTCCACTATCAAGGCATAGATACTTGGAAAGGTCGTCTGTCTCGTCCTGAAAAGACGGGCACGAGATAATCTCGAGGGTCCTGAGGTTGTCATGCAAACGGATTCTGTTCAAGGATTGCAGGTCGGGGCAGGAACAGAAAGTCAGCCGCTGCAGCCGTTTCAAATCGTACGGTCTATTCGGGAATAAAGTCAGGTAGGGGATGCCAGACAGGAGGAGGGCTGTAAGGTTATCAAGCATGCTAACGGACGAGATGAAGTCGCCAGCGAAACGTGTCTCATTCCCCGCATCCCCAGCCGGGCAACTGGTTGGCCATCCGAACTCAAGAGAGGTCAGGCTCGTCCTCCAGTTTGGAAGCAGAGATGGCGGAATACTGGTGACGCTGTTGCAGTGATTGAAGATGAAAGATCGAATGTTGGAGAGGCTGGAGAGGGAATCAGGAAGGCTAGTGAGGCTGCTGAGTTGGCACAGCTCCAAATGCTCCAAAGATGACATGCGACCCAGGCCCTCTGGAAGTTCCCTCAGTGCAGAGCAATTTCTGATGGTCAGGCTCTCGAGAGAGACAAGATCAGACATGGCACTTGGGAAACGTTGCATCTCATTGAATTTCGTTAGTTCGAGGACACGTAGCGAAGTTAGCAGGAAGAAGGAATCCGGAATCCTGGAGAGAGACGAGTTGTCCTTCAAAAAGACCTCTTGAAGGTTCTGAAGGCAGCCAATGCTGTCAGGAAGGCCCTCCAGATCGGCTACATCCGATAAACCGAGTTTGACCAGAGAACTAAGGTTGCCAAAGGACTCGGGCAAGTGGTATAACTCCTTGCAGTGTAACAGTTGCAGCTCGGTCAGCCCGGTAAGAAGACCAAAAGATTCTGGGAGCTCGCAGGAAAGGTCGCTCAACGTGAGCTTCTTCAAGCATCTCAGCTTGTTGAATTCATCAGGAAGGCTTGTGAAATCGACTTCCAAAAAGACCTCCGTCAGGGAAGACAGATCAAAGAGAGACGGTGGGGGACTTGAGTAATACGCACTAACGTCCAGTGAGAGATGCTGTAACCCAGTGCAAGCAGTAAAGACAGCATCCAGACCATCCCAACCCGAAGCATCATGAGTATACGCGTTTCTGAGGTCAAGACGAGTCAACCCAGGACATGCAGATCCGAGGCCGAAAAGAAACTCGCACTCGTAGTCAATACAGCAACTGTTTATCGTTAGAGACGTCAATTTTGTGAACTTTGACAAGTACTTCAAGAGGTCAGTGTTTGCTTGAATCGCGACATCTCTCAGGGAGCGCACCATGGAGATGGAGGTCTGAGAAAGATAAGCGAGGCGACGCCATCGCTTGCAGACCATAGCGTGGTTCAAGCTGTTAGGCGTCTGCTGGCTTAGCAGACGGAAAATGATGCAAAGGAAGTCGTCCGACAAATGATCGAACAACGACGACCACGCGGAACTACCAAGGCAAGGTGATGCTAGGGTTAGCGACGATTGGTCTCTATCACTAGACGACATGGCTCACACTATACGGAGACAGCAACCTTGCTGCTGGAATTACGTGAGTGTTGGAAGGAATACGAGATTTGAAGACTTACTGCTGGTTGGGTTATGTTCCACAACGACCCTCTCGTCTGAAGAGTCTCTGGGCTGACAGATGAGAGACTGAAGAAACAGGAAGTCCCCTAGACTCGGGAACAAAGGTTCCCTGAGAATCTCAGGTCTTGGCCTGGAGAGGACTGCTCCTCCTTTTTCTCTTTTGCTCTGGGACAGTGAATCGACACGGAACCCATGCGCCTTGGGAGACGTCCATTCTGGGCTTGGAATCCCAAGGCTTCCACTCGCAATGGGTGGGAAAACCACTTCGTACTCTGCAACGACTCGTGCATGCTATTCCACGTCAGAAGCGACCCAGCTATGGCCCAACATCACGAAGTGACAACGTGGAATGACTAGATGCGGCGAAATTATAGAATCTCGATCGAAGCTCCAAACCCCCCTGCAGCAACTGCTCTGCGGTTGTTCAGCTTGAATCCTAGGTCTCTCTGGAAGGGTGTAATGCTGTAACTTCGGCGGAAGGTGGAGTGGGGAAAGTCCATTCGCCCTCATCAGCGAAGTCGGCTTTTCCGCTTGCTTCGCCTGGTTACCAGGTTTAGCGTTTCGAGAATAAACATTTTTGGGATTCTTTGTTTCCGTCAGATAGTCACGAAAAGACGAGGTAGAAAATGACTTTCGCGATTACTTGCGACAAATTCTTCTCTATCCCTTGGCTACTCCTCCCCCTCCTCCCCCTCCTCTCGTCTCCCCATCCCATCCTCCCACAGGTACTACTTCTTACTGATGCTTCATGCGCTGTGCGTGTGTGCTTGTCATTCGTCGGCAGTTGGACGCGCAGACATGTCGTGAAAGGCGGCAAGGATGTGATTGGAAACATACCTCGGGCGAGCGTACTTCCCTCCCGCCTGTGTATTTTACGTGAAGGTTCACATAGTAAAGTTATGTTTCGTCACTGCCTTTTCGTATGCACTTTCACTACGCTCCTGTTTCTGCGAGCCCAGCCGATCGATTCAGCAGATCCAGCCATCTCGTTTCTATATTCCCAGGCTATCCCCTTCAGTAGGCTTTCTTCTAGCGTCTCCGCAATTCTGGTAATGACTCGGAGTCCTCGTTCGGATAACCCGGTTAGGAATGTCGGACTGAAAAACGCGGCTAGGAATCCCGGTTTGCTAACCCACTAGCGTCAACTTTTTCCCTCCCCCCTTTTCACCCCTCCCCGTTCCGTTTCTCGCGCCCTCCCTCCCCACTCCCCCACTTCCTCCCCGCTTCCACTTCCTTCCCTCCTCTTCCCCTCGGTTCCGCCGGCCAGGCGACGCCTTGGCGATTCATACAGCATTGCCAGGGCCCGTCATCTCGTGCGTTCTCTCGGCGTCATTCAGCCACTATGTGACGTGTCAAGGTGCCACATGCAGCTCTCAAGATCTGGTGGTTTGACTGTGCCTGAACGAAATTTCATTTTCTGGTGTAAGCGGTGAGTATGCTTGTTGCCGATTATCTGCGCTGGTGCTTTTGTGGCGGTATTGTAGTTAAGTTTACAGCTTCCATGTTGACTCCTCCTGACTGTTGCCTTTGATCCACCTGTTGCTAGCAATGATGTTTGTTATTTGGTTCCGGAACGATGCCTATCAAATCTGACTGAAGCACTCTCGACCACCCAAATCTCCCTCCGGCTTCCCTGCATGCATCCGTCTGCAACGATCCACATCCCCTCTCCGTCCCGCTGCATAACAGCGGGTCTCCCAGACGCGCCTGTTTTTCAGGGCCCCACAGTACCGCTTTCAACCGCCACACATCCAGCTGTACGGCCACTTCGCATCCGCTTTGTTTCTCATACATGCATTCTTCATTCTATTTCCAGTGTTTAAATGCCCTCTTTCTCCCATCTTTTGTTTTCCCGCTCCCACCAACAATTATTATCTTCATACATTATCTAAAAACTCTCCTGCTCCTCCTTTCTGGGCCCAAATGATCTGGCGGGAGTGGTGCTGCGTTCTCCTGCAGAACCTGTTGCAGCAGACAGCCCTGAGGGGCAGTGCTGACTGAGAGGCAGCGGCGTGGATGGTGGCATGGCATGGCAGCACATGGCAGAGCAGAGGGCAGAGCAGAGGGCAGAGCAGAGGACAGAGCAGAGGACAGAGCAGAGGACAGAGCAGCGGGCAGAGCAGAGGGCAGAGCAGAGGACAGAGCAACGGGCAGAGCAGCGGGCAGAGCAGAGGGCTGAGCAGAGGACAGAGCAACGGGCAGAGCAGCGGGCAGAGCAGAGGGCAGAGCAGAGGACAGAGCAACGGGGAGAGCAGGTTAGGGGGGGGCTTACATACAACTGCGCAGCAGAGGGCGTGGGAGTGGGTATGCGAGGATGGTGGCATGGAGAGCAGGTTAGATGGGGGCTTACAGCCGCGGGCAGCCTCGCCCAGGCAAGTCACAACAAGTGGACAAGTCTCCATTCACCCCCCCTCACACTCTTCACCATGCACCTCACTCCATTCACGCCCTCAGCTCACGCTCTCCCAGTGCCCTCATCTCGCACCTTGCCATTCGCACCCTTGTCCTGCACCCATGCCAGCATTTGAGGCTTGCCTGAGAGGTCTCAAGAGTCGATCTCGAGACTTTTCAGGCTGCTAAATGGTGGCGCATGAATGGTTGCTCCAGGCTGGCCCTTGCTCTCCATCCATCCCCAGCAGTCAAGCCCGCTGCCATCTGCTTGCTGAAATGCCCTCGTTGCCTCTCCTCGCTCACCTCGCTCACCTCGCTCACCTCGCTCACCTCGCTCACCTCGCTCACCTCGCTCACCTCGCTCACCTCGCTCACCTCGCTCACCTCGCTCACCTCGCTCACCTCGCTCACCTCGCTCACCTCGCTCACCTCGCTCACCTCTCTCACCTCTCACAACACCCTCGCCTCTCTCATCTCTCTCACCTCCCTCACCTCCCCCATTCTCACCTCCCTCACCTCTCTCGCCTTCCTCACATACTTTTCCATACAGCTTCCCTCCCGCCTCCCATCAGTTGAAACGGCCCCAACCCATGGGTGGGTGGGGGTGCCGCCAGTGCAAGTGGCCATGGCTGTTGGTGCTGCTGAGGTGGCAGCCACAATCACCCGACTCCTTTCGTCTATCAGATGATGCTGCATGGTGGCATGGCTCTCTGTGCTGCATGGTGGCATGGCTCTCTGTGCTGCATGGTGCCATGGCTCTCTGTGCTGCATAGTGCCATGGCTCTCTGTGCTGCATGGTGCCATGGCTCTCTGTGCTGCATGGTGCCATGGCTCTCTGTGCTGCATGGTGGCATGGCTCTCTGTGCTGCATGGTGCCATGGCTCTCTGTGCTGCATGGTGCCATGGCTCTCTGTGCTGCATGGTGGCATGGCTCTCTGTGCTGCATGGTGCCATGGCTCTCTGTGCTGCATGGTGGCATGGCTCTCTGTGCTGCATGGTGCCATGGCTCTCTGTGCTGCATGGTGGCATGGCTCTCTGTGCTGCATGGTGCCATGGCTCTCTGTGCTGCATGGTGGCATGGCTCTCTGTGCTGCATGGTGCCATGGCTCTCTGTGCTGCATGGTGCCATGGCTCTCTGTGCTGCATGGTGCCATGGCTCTCTGTGCTGCATGGTGGCATGGCTCTCTGTGCTGCATGGTGGCATGGCTCTCTGTGCTGCATGGTGGCATGGCTCTCTGTGCTGCATGGTGCCATGGCTCTCTGTGCTGCATGGTGGCATGGCTCTCTGTGCTGCATGGTGGCATGGCTCTCTGTGCTGCATGGTGGCATGGCTCTCTGTGCTGCATGGTGCCATGGCTCTCTGTGCTGCATGGTGCCATGGCTCTCTGTGCTGCATGGTGCCATGGCTCTCTGTGCTGCATGGTGGCATGGCTCTCTGTGCTGCATGGTGCCATGGCTCTCTGTGCTGCATGGTGCCATGGCTCTCTGTGCTGCATGGTGCCATGGCTCTCTGTGCTGCATGGTGGCATGGCTCTCTGTGCTGCATGGTGCCATGGCTCTCTGTGCTGCATGGTGGCATGGCTCTCTGTGCTGCATGGTGCCATGGCTCTCTGTGCTGCATGGTGCCATGGCTCTCTGTGCTGCATGGTGCCATGGCTCTCTGTGCTGCATGGTGGCATGGCTCTCTGTGCTGCATGGTGCCATGGCTCTCTGTGCTGCATGGTGCCATGGCTCTCTGTGCTGCATGGTGCCATGGCTCTCTGTGCTGCATGGTAGCATGGCTCTCTGTGCTGCATGGTGCCATGGCTCTCTCTCCTGCAAGTGGCCATGGCTGTTGGTGCTGCTGAGGTGCTGGTTGTTGTATTTCAGCACTTTACTGTGTCCAGTCCAGGCTGATTAAGATCATGGGGCTTGGTGCTGAGCAGAATATTCGGAATAGTTCAGCCGTTCCAAAACATATGCGGTGCATGCACCCTACTACACGTTTTAGGCATGACCCAGCCCAGTGATCATTCACTTGGATGCTTGTTGTTACCAAGTGAGGAAGCCAATGATAAGTACCTAGTACCGAAGTACAAAAAAAGGCCATGGAACGAGGATGTGATAACAGCTATGGAATTTGTGATGAGAATGGCGGCAGTGTAACATAGATGGCAGCGATGGTAACACAGCAGCAGCAGTAAGTAATCACCCTCAGCGATGGGTTTGAAGTTCATCCCCACGCCCTCCGTTTCCCTTTCGACTGGAATTGAGCTCGATCAGCTCTTTCGGCAGATCTCGTTACATTTCTTCTTCAAGGATGCAGATGGTTTGACGAGGGATTCGCGCTTTCGAGTTAGGAACCCGAGTTGGCTACCTGATCGGATGGTTATTCCGGAGCAGGTCTTCACAGACTCGTCCTCGGACCTGTCTTTCCTGTTGAAGGCATCTAGGCCTGACCGACACCGAAACATCTCGTTAGGTGTACGTAAGGCTTTGCGCGCCATCGCTACAGATCGAGAAGTAGTTATCAAGCCCGCTGACAAGAACGTGGGGATTACCGTTTTAGACAGAGATCATTATGTACGGTTGTGCATGGAACACCTCGGTGACAGCGCCACCTACTCTCCTGTTCTACATAATCCCACCGTCGAAGTCGTGCGTAAACTGCGTGATCTGAAAAGCGTTTGGGGCCCTGCTTTTCCCGAGACACTCTGGAAGTTTTTCTTTGACGAACCGCCTGGGGGTTGGAAGCCCGCGGCATTCTACATCTTACCGAAGCTGCATAAAAAGGAGCTCGCGGGGCGACCGATCGCTGCCTCGCATTCTTGGGTTACCTCTAATGTTAGCCGCTGGTTGGACGCAGAATTACGGCCGTGGGTGTTGCGACAGCAGACATACCTCCGCGACTCACTCTCGCTGCTTTTGAAGCTGGAAGAAACTGCCTTTCCGAAAGGGATCTTCCTGGCCACCTACGACGTTACTTCGCTTTACCCCAGCATTCCTTTAAGGCGAGGCATCGACGCAGTCAGCAGCATGTTACAGAGTGGGAGACACCCGAGCTACCTCCCGATTGTCGCCCTGCTGGAGTGGGTGATGATGAACTCCTATGTGGAGTTCGACGGCCAACTTTTTCTTCAACGGCAAGGCACGGCTATGGGAACTCCTGCAGCTGTCTGTTTTGCCGTGCTTTTCGTGAGTCGTCTGGATGAGGTACTGAGGAGGAGATGGACTGGGACAGAACCACTGTGCCACGTTAGATACATTGACGACGGCTTGATTGTATGGCCTGGATCTCGGGATGAGCTGGAGGAGTATTTGAACATGTTCAACCAGCTCGACCCCAACATCAAACTGACGTGGCACGTCTCAGACTCATCGGCTGACTTTCTTGACATGGTCATCTTCAAGGGACCAAGGTTTGCCGAGAAGGGTATCTTGGATCTGAGGGTGTTTCAGAAACCTATAAATCGATACCTTTATCTCCCCTTTTCTTCTTTCCACCCGCGGCACTGCAAGATAGGCTACATCAAGGCAGAACTGAAGCGGTACCTTCTCCGCTCAACATCTGCCCAGTCCTTTCTCGCCTCTAAGCACGCGTTTTTCCAACGGCTTAGAAGTCGCGGCTATCCTGGAGATTTCCTTCTGCCCATCTTCCGTTCTGTTTTCTTCCGACACCGACGCCTCCTTCTGGAGGAAACCGCTGCACGCCAAGCACTCAAACTTATCTCCCCCCCACCCGCGGCCCCCTGGTCTTGAAGACCCTGTTCACCCCGTTGACAGCTCGTCTCAGGCTGGGGGTCCTTTTGAGGCACCTCAAAAGTCGTCTCAGTTCACGCGGATTTTATGTGGAGAGAATTATAACTGCTTGGAAGTGTTCACGTAACCTACAAAGGTTACTGGTGCGTGCGCGGTTACCGAACCGATCAAGTCGTTGAAGACATTTCGTGAAGGCCGACAAAGCACATTGGGTTTACCCCCCCTGCTGAGTTGGCGATTGCTTCTGATTTGTAATCTGGGTAGTTGGACAATAAGCTGATCTCGAGGGCAGTAGCAGGTACTTAGCTAGCTTCTGTCCGAGGCTTCTCTTTCTTGTGAACCTGAAAAGCAGCACTGATGAAGGCTTAGCGGGGTTATGTCCCGTTTGGCCGAAACTAGTTTGCGGTTAAGGGTTTTTCGAGGTTTGGAGGCTTTGAGATCTTTCTTTTAATTTCTAGGAACAAGTATCACAGTTTTGATCCTTTTGCTAAGCGTTTTCTCACAAGTTCACTGCTACTCCCATTATGAATCTTGATCCTTGGGCTATAGATGGCAGCGATGGTAACACAGCAGCAGCAGTAAGTAATCACCCTCAGCATCATTCCTCGAGGTGTTCAGGATCCTCCCTAACTGTCTCTTCAGAAGGTATTCGTTCCCCGCCTTGCCTTCCTATTCGTACTGCCCACCTTAGAGACATCACATCACAGCCAAGGAATCAGCCCATTAAAGAGATGCTATGGTAGATGCCATGCCATAGTACCTTACTACCGGTAATACCTACCTACTTGGATATTCTCAGCCTGGAATATTCTCAGCCCGTACACCTCATAGATGCTCCAGGGGACCACATACCCACCACAGTCCTTCACAAGCCTACACTCATCCACATTCAGCATCCGCAGTGCCGTCAGCTCACCCAAATCCCACGGCAATGCCTTTAGCTGCGCACAGCATGACAAATTGAGGGATCTGAGCCACTGGAACTGTGCAGCGGCCGGACACAGGGAGCGGATGGGGCAGTTTGAAATGGTCAGCTGGTTCAGGCGGGTAAGCTGGGTGAGAGAGGCAGGCAGATGCTCCAGCTGTTTGCAGGAACCGATCAGCAGCTCCCGCAGCCCTGATAAGGCACCGATGGCAGGCGGAAGAGAAACCAAGCTGGGCGCGTCGTCAACCCCCAAGGACGTCAGGTTCTGCAGCGCACTCACACTCGCTGGCAGCTCCCTCAACTTGCCCGCATTTACCAGCCTCAGCTTCCGCAGCTGCGGCAGTGCTGACCCGATGTCGGCCGGCAGCCTTTGGAGACTCATCGCGCGGTCAATGATCAAGGTGCGCAGGCGGGAGAGGAACGTCAAGGCGAATGGAAGCTCCTCCGCATCGCCTGCCAATGACATATGTAAATGCTCCAGGTGCGACAGGCTCCTGCTCACAGCGACCCCACACGCCACCGCAACTACGTCCAGGCGGAGCGTTCGAAGCCCCGTCAGCTCGGAGAAGTCAGGCAGAGCCATGGCGTGCCTGTAACCTCCCCACCTCAGCCATTCAATGGAAGCCGGCAGGACTTGAGGAGGCTGTGTCAGCATGTCACACCGGGCCACCTCCAGCCGCTTGAGCCGTGTCAGGCCATCCAGCCTCTTGGGCGCCGAGGCCAGATTCTCGCAGTCAGCGAGTGAGAGAGCTTCCAGGGCAGTCAGGCACGTCACAGACTCTGGAAGGACCGTGAGCTGATGGCAGTACGAGACGTGCAACTCGCGCAGGTTGCTGAGCGACCCCACGCCCTCTGGCAGCAACTCCACGCCGCACCCGTTCAGCTCAAGCCTTGTCAGCGACGCGATCTCGGATAACGAGGACGGGAGATGCCGAGACTTGAAGCTGTCTCTGAGAAGCAGCGTGCGGAGGTTACTCAGGCGTCCAATGTCTGCTGGAAGCGCCACTCGCCCGAGGCAGAGAGTCGTGAGAGCTGCGAGGCAGCACAAGTCTGCTGGCAGCTCGTGGATCGGGTCGGCCGAGAGCAGGAAGAAGGTCTCCAGCGAGCTGAGCTGGCAGACGGAGGCAGGCAGGCTCGCCAGCAGCAGCTGTTCCAGAACTAGGGTTTTCAAGGCAGACAATCTCCCAACGCTTTCAGGTAGGCAGCGGAAGTGCTTGCAATCGATGACTGACAAGGTCTCGAGGTGCTTCAGCGAACAGAAACCTTCTGGCAGCTCCTCGAAGGCCTCGCACCTGGAAACGGTCAGCTCACGCAGACGCGGCAGCAACTCCGCAATGCTGTCCGGAAGCCGCCTCAGTTCTCTGCAGTCTGATATCTGCAGCCGTTCTAGACTGGTCAGTGGCCAAACCGACAGCAATCCGACATCAAACGTGGGCCCGGCAGAGAGTGAAACGCTGGTGATGCTGGGAAGACGACGTACATTCGAGAGTTGCTCCTCGTTTAACTCCCTGAAAACGATATGAAGATTGGTGAGAGAGCTCAGGCTCTCCAAATCTAGAGCTTCTAAGGCGGAGGCGATTGGTAAAGCCAGGGTGTGTAGACGCGTGAGGTGGACGAAGGAAGCGGGTAGCTCAGTGTCCCGATGGAGGCAGAGCAGTGAAAGCTGCTCCAGCTGAGTGCATCGCTGGAAGAAGCGATCCAGGCCAGACTCGGTGATCGGGTGCTTATGCTTCGGTCCGACGTAGTCTGGATGCTGAGTGATCCCGCGTCCCACGTGGAGACTCTTGAGCTGAGGACAGGATGATGCGAGGTGAGCGAGGAAGGAGTCGTCTAGGGTTTCCACGCTGTCGTCGCACAGATGGAGATGTGTAAGATTCGGGAAGCACGCGACGGCATTCGAGAGTTCTTGGAGGGAAATGGCATGTTTTCGTTCGACGAGCAGGGTTGAGACGTCACGGTGAGCTACATCGCGCCAACGACGGCACACCGACGACACGAGGAAGATCTCGGCAGCGGTTGGAATGGCGGAGGGGGACGATACTGGATACGATTCTTCCTCAGGACTGAGATCATCTTCGTCTTCTAAAACGATCGAGCGAAGGTACAGTGGCTTCGGCGACCATGAATGCCGAGACCATAACGTGTCACTGTCGGGTTTCCAAGGTGTGATGGACTCCGCACAATGCCATAGTATCCTAGCGAGGACGTCGTGGGGAAGGTCGTTAATATGTGTCGCTGTCTCCATCATTTCCCTAGCAGACGAGATTACTAAGGATCTATAATAGGATGGTATGTAGCGACCTTGAAGCCTAGACCGAGTTTACACAAGCCTGATTAAAGCTGCGGTCTACATACTAAAAGGTATTTTTTGGGGGCATTTCGGGTGCACACCCTAGGACGAATGCTAATTGGGGAACGAAATGACCATTTTCCAGAAATGAGGGAGCGAATGTTTCAAACAGAACTGGCGAATCCCGCCAGTTTCGTGAAAGGTTTGGTTGGGGTGTAAATATTTCGGGAGGAGAGGGTTATGTTGGCGATTTCGCCACAACGTGCAACCAATCCGGGTTGGGGAGGTGATTGGCGGGAAAACTAGAAGCCAATCCTGTTTCGCCCAATTTTCAGAGGTGAGGTTGTGTTGTCACAAAGGAGTAACTGCACCTCGCCACTCAAGGTTGGAGCGAAGCTAGGTGCTACCGTGTTTCCAAGTGATAAGCCTAGACCTCCCGCAGGAAGTATGTAGGCGATAGCTTTAATGAGTGACGACGTGACTCATTCGTGATGGTCATGCTGCCTTCCCTTGAACGCAACGCATGCCTCATGTAAGGGTGGATACTCCGTCAGTTTTACAGAAAAGGGTTACCCAGATACCAAACCAAATTGGTTTTGCTGCGCTAAAGTACCTACCGATTTCGCTGCCATGTTTTCGCTGCATAAGTTTCGCTCCGATTCATTTTGGTTCGAAACCTTGCGTGGTCCAACAGAAAGTCAGCGAGCTCAACGAAATCTGGTAAAATCTGAGACGTGACACGGTTTCGTTTAGCGACGAATCAAGCACAATTCGTCCGGGAAACACTGTGTTCGAAGGTTCGTTCCAGCTCACTCGTGATTTCGCGACATTAACGAGCTTCGCCCAAAACACGGCGAGTGTCGTAAAAGGTTTACTTTCGCCAACAACGGCCCGACGGATTTTCCCAAAATTTGTTGTGGCACGACTTTACACGCCCTAAGTGCATCTGCCTGGTCCGAAATTCTGGTCAGGCGGGCACCTTCGCGGACCAGTCGCGGACAATCCACGGACTCTGTCCCTGAGGTTCGCGGCATCTCGTTTTGGAGGGAAACCTGTGATCCAACAAATTCACTCGGCTTGTGTTACCGTTTCGTTCGTTGAATCGAATATCGACGATGATGCCGAAAACCTTCGCCCAAGCCCTTTCGTGTACGGACCGAACGAGACTCGGTAACACAATCGTAGTAACCAAATCTTTGCCAAGTTTCGTTCATTTCTGGAACCAACTCTTCGCTAAGTCTTCATTTGGCTCCCTCACATGGCTGATGCTGGAGACCCAGATTTCACCTCAACATTTGCTTCTCTCCAACAGAATACGGTACTTTTCCGCTCCCAGTACCCTGACCTGCGACTTTCTAAGCTCACATTCCGAGAAGCTCATGGCTCCAGACGCGCCAGCTCCGATCGAAGTTATCATAACGCGTCTCAAATTAAGTGTCGTGAATCGTGATCACCCACGGATATGGTTACCACCAATCAAGCCCAGCAGGCCACTTCCGCGCGTCATAGGGAGTTATTGAAGCACGGACTTCTTCGTGCACCATAACGGTGAACTCTCTAATCAGCTCAAAGCACGGTGATGAAACAGACGAACCACCATTCTCTGCGGGAGTCACCTTCTGAGCGCGCGAATCTCTTCCTCTTCCCTTCTGTCGAGCGCCACGTTTGCGACCTCGGAACAGTCTGTGGTCACAGCGAGTCTTCCGTCTTTCCCCGGGAAAAGCGATATGAGAGGGCCTTCTCTTCCACTAGGCTTTTTCCTAACGCCTAAACATCAGAGTTCGAGTTCCGAGTTAGCTATCGGCAATCGTGTTTCTCACAGACGACGTGCCTCGTCCCCCAGTGTCTTCGCTCCTTCCTCTCATATCGCTTTTGGCATCGTTAGTCTCGCCCCTCCCTTTCTCTCCTTTCCCATCCGCCTCCAGACGACGCTTTCCCCTCCCCCCCCGTCCCCTCCTCCCCCCCCGCATCCGCCATCGCCACGTCGTTCAGCCACTATGTGACGTGTGAAGCTGCCACATGCAACGTTCGAGGCCTGGTGGGTTCATCGTGCCTCCTCTATAGGAATCCTTCTTTCCCTGGCCTTAACATTCTGGTGTGTGTTCGTGCAACCTCTCGATTTTCTAGGAAACTTCTCACTTTTTCTTGCTCTCATCCTACCCACACCTTCATTCATTTCCTGCATCTCTTCACATCATTGTCCCTTATGTACCCCCCCTCTTTCCGTCCCCTGATTCCGCCTCCCATCCCCCACCCTCCTCTTCCATATATCCCCCTCCTCGTCGCGCATCTCCCTCCCCTCCTTCCCCCTTCCCCATCCCGCTTCTCCCCCCTTCCCTTTCCTTCTCTCCTCCAGTGCATAGCAGCAGGACGCCCAGACACGCCTGTTGTTCAGGGCGCCACGCCACAGCACCACTTTCAACCGCACCATCCTCTGCAGGGGATCTTCCCTACCTGTCGAATCTCCCCTTTCCTGCACGCAGCTCTCCCCTCTCCCATCGCCTATGCTAACGGTCTCTTTCCCCCCTTGTGCCCTCCTCTTCTTCCCTCCTGCCCTCCCGTGTTCCAGCTCTGCGTTCCAAGTCTAGATTATAGCACCATCACCACCACCATTCCATGAGGAGTGCAGGGCGGGGCAGAGCAGGGGGCGGAGCGGAGGGCGTGCGAGTGGATGTGTGAGGAGGTGGCGCGGAGGCCCGTGGTGCAGCTGGGACCCATGCCCAGCCCATCCTCGCCCGGGCAAGCGTGTTGGTGCCGTGTGCCATTGTATGTACTATGTGCCCATGTTACCTGTGTGTTGATTCATAAGGAGGTTGTATTATAACCCAGCCCAGGTGGTGTGCCATGCACGATGTGAGCAGAGCACGCTGAGCTGATCAGCATCGTGCAGTGCAGTTCAGACCCATGGCCAAGCTCTCCCAGGCAAGTGCTTGCATGCAGCAGTCCTGCTCCTTGCTTCTTGTGTCCATGCACCCCATATCCTCTCTCCCCTCACCTCCGTCACCTCCCTCGCTTCTTGTGTCTTGCTACTCGGCTACCCTGCTCCTCTCCTTCTCACGCATAGCATATCCCCGGCACCGATCAAGCCTTCTTCATCCGAGGCTGCAGTCATCTCCTTGCTGGGAGGCTTTAGAGCATTCTCGAAAGCCGTCTGGGTGTGGGTGCAGGGAGGGAGGCACCTTTCTTGCCAGTTGAGCACCAAGTGCTATGCTGCTGCTCCCTCACCGTTTCCTCTCTCATTCCGCACCGTGCTCTCATCTCATCCACCAAAAACGGTTGCTCCCTCCCACTAGGATCTCTCCCACCGTCCCTCGCTGGCATCGGAGCTTGCGGCCAACTGGGTGGTGTGGTGGGGGCCCATTCTTCGCCCACTGGCACCACCCAGTGCTCGCCCTCACATCTCCCCTCTCCCCCTTCTTCACACCCCCTCCCCATTCCTCCCACTATGCCCTCTCCCAGCATCCCTCTCTGGCATCAGAGCCTTGCTCGCTGGCATCGGAGTTGGCGGGCGTTTGGGTGGTGGGGGGTTCCTTCTTCGCCAGTGGGGATGTCAACGCGGCTGCAGAGGAGAGCGTGAGTGCGGGGGGCTGGCCGCAGTGGGGGTGATGGGGAAGAGTGTGGGGCGGTGGAAGGAGAAGGGGAGAAAAAAGGAGAAGGGAGAGGAATGAGGAAAGGAAACGGCAGCCTGGCCCGTGAGGGAGGTGGGAAGCTTCGCTTCATCTTCGCTCTCCTGCCAGTCCTCCCCGCCACTACCCCTCTGGGTGCTCTACGGGTGGCCCCTCTTGCCCTTCCTATTTTTCTACCTCTAACGATGAGGGGCAGATGGGAGTGATGAGGGGGCGACTCAGAGGGGTCACTCATAACGATGTCCGTCTCTAAGTCGCCCCCTCATCACTCCCCGCTGCCCCTCTCTGCCTGCCTCCGTTTCTGCCTCTCCTGCAAGCCATGTGTTTGCAGACCCTCAGTAGCTTTCCTCTCTCCAGCTCTCTCCACCCGTCTCTACCTCTCTCCTCCCCTTTCTGCCTCTCTCGGTCCCCTCTACTTTCCTCCCCTTTTGCTCCTCTCTGAGTGGCGCCCGCCAAGCTAACACCCCCAACTCTCCAAACTTCCACCCTGCCTCCACTCCTCTCCTCCCCAATCTGCCCCGCGCTCCCCCCGTCTGCCTTACTCTACCTCCCCTTGACGTGACAGGGGTTTGCAGGCCCCAAGGCAGCGGATCAGGTGCTGATGAGTGGAGCCAAGGGGATGTTGGCTGCGCCCCTCGACCCTGCCTCCACTCCACTCCTCTCCGCCCCTCTCCACCCCTCGACCATGCCTCTCAGTCCTCTCCGCCCCTCTCCACCCCTCTGTGCCCCCTCTGCTCCTCTCTATGGCAGGTGTTTGCAAACCCCGCGGCAGCTGACGGACCAGGTGCGGACGAGTGGCGCATGGACATCCAGGTGCACTGCCGACCAGCTGACATCCACGGATTCCACGTGCTGGGACTCAACGCTACCACACAGGTCACACTCACTGGTGTGTAGTGTAGCGAATGATTCTTGAGAGTCGTGCATGTAACCATGCCATGCGCGTTGCAGTCAACGATGTGTCACTGTGTTTGCAACGAGTAACACGATGCGCTAGGTACCGTGGTTGCTGCCTTGTGCAATGCAACCGGTAAAGGGGCCAGGCCGGTGCGGTGCGGTGCGGCCAAGAGACCAGGTGCTGCTGACGAGTAACGCCAACATCCACGCGCTGAACGCTACCACTCACATTGCAATGAGGTGACTTTCGAGTCGACTCAAAAGTCACCTCTGTATCGCCAGCATCCATGCGCCAGCATCCACGCGCTGATCGCTACCAATTACATTGCACTCGAACTCTCCCGAAAAGGGGCTTCGACTTTCACCAGTCCCCTTAAAAGCCGCCTCAAGAGCGCTTCAGTACAGGCCACCGCCAGCTTTGACATTGCCCCTTCCACATCTCCCTATCCCATGCGCCGTGCCATTATCCCATGTGCCATGTCATCATCCCATGCGCCCAGCTGTCATCCCATGTCCCCTTGACTCCCCATGGTATTGTGTCACCTCATCATAACCATCACATGACCACCATCAGCCACCATGAAACATCTTCTTACCCATACATGCGTCTTCTCTTTCGTCTCTTTCCTTCTCCACTCCCCCTTTCCCACTCTTCCCCACTATTCAGCACCATCATCAACATCAACCGCAGTGAGTCCAGCTTCCGTAGCCAATCACGTTCCAGGAATCCACGCCACCTGTCGGGCAGCTGATTGGCTCATCACCGGTGGAAGCGGGCAAGATTTGCATGCAGTCACAACTGTTGACGAGCTCATGGTAAGGTGTTTGACCACCTTTGCCACATGGTCAACAAGAGATTCTGGCTCTGCTTATGTATAACTGTCTCACGAGGATGGTTTCTCAGGGGTTTGGGCTGAGCGGAGCAGCACAGGACAGGGAAAAGGAAAGGAGGACAGAGCAGAGAAGTGTAGATAAGGCAAGACGTATGGATGCCGTTGTGGCATCTGATTCTTGGATCCCCACACACCACGTCCGCATTCCCTCTCACGCCCCTCCGCCTTACGACCCACTGCTGTGACCAGCAGCCTCATCTGAGGCATGTCGGAAAATGCATTCTTCTTTTCCCGCTACCTTGCTTTTCCGCCTTTCCTCTCACGCCCCCTTCCCCTTACCACCGACTGCAGTGACCAACTGCAGGTGGATACAGCATCACAGCACAAGGCAACATCATTCCATACATGATGGACCCAGCAGCCTCAGCCTCATTTGGGGCACGTCGAAAGATTCCTCCTTCTTTTCCCGCTGCCGTGCTGTCACACGCCCACCGCACTGTGCAGCGCTTCACCCTTCTACTCTCATGTCACTTCGTAATATGATTTGACGACGAGGCTTGGGGATTGCAGCCTGTATGGCCTGGCAGAGTGTGAGCTGCTGGTGAGGACAGTCAGCACGGATGCAGCACCATGGCAGCATGTGCAGCAGGCAGTGGAGTGGAGCAGTGCAGCAGATCCAGTTGTGCAAAAGGTCTCTTGAGATGTGCATTGTATCCACGCAGTAATGCAGGTTTGAAGACAGGAGAGTAATGTGTTCAAACAGGTGATACCACCAATGGAGATGCCTAGTGCTGCAATTGTAGGTACGGTTGGATATTCCAAGTGTATCAGGGGGTGAACACGTTTCGACTTCTTGCACATACCGTACCAGCAAACTGCAGAACAAGCAACTAGACAATAAAGGCTACAAATGCCATGGCCTGGTGTCCACAATGACAAGTTGCATAATGTTAGGTACCGGTACTAAACTAAATCAAAGCAGACCAATCTCTAACCGAACCAGACAAGGGCAGTCTTAGCTAAAACAACGAAGGCAAACATCCCAAGAAACGCCTAGCATATCCACACATTCCATTCCAGCACCCTCCCCACCCTCACTTCTTCCCCACAAACGATCCATTTCCCAGCTGCCGACCGTCCACACATCCACTGTCCAGGTTTGGAATTTTGGAGATAATATCATCTTCATCCGCAAAGTCCGGACATCCCATGATCACGAGAGTCCTGAGGCTGGTGAGGCTGGTGATTGTCTTGGGCAAGGAGACCAAGTTGGGCCAGAGATTTAAAGTTAGCCGCTGCAGCCGTGACAGATTCCCAATCTCATCAGGAAGCGAAGAAAGTTCAAAAGGGCCAAACAGGAAGAGAGTTGATAGATTCGAGAGCCCGCAAAGAGACAACATGAAGTTTTCCTCAACCTCCCTTCCGGCCCTGCAGTTGGCTGGCCAACCAAACTCAAGCGCTGTGAGGCTGCTCCAAAGCCGAGGCAGATATGGACAGACTACGGGAATTCTGTCACAGTGATTCAAAGAGAAGTTGCGGAGGTTGGAGAGCTTGGAAAAGGAATCTGAAATGTAGGTAATGCTTTTGAGTTGACACAGTTCGAGATGCTCCAGGGACGACAGGTGGCCCATGCCCTGTGGAAGTTCCCTGAGAAAAGGGCAGTTTCTAATGACCAGGACGCGGAGGCTAGTAATACTGCAGAGGGAGTCGGAAAGCGAGGTAAAAACTCGACAGTTTCTGATGGTAAGCGTCGTGAGAGAAACGAGGCCTGACACAGCGCTTGGAAGGGAATTAAAACTTTCACATTTCACAATCTGAAGGACTCGAAGAGAAGTCAGCTGGAAAAAGGAGCCTGGGAGTTCGGTAACTAAGGAAATGCTATTAAAGTAAAACTCTTGGAGGTTTTGGAGCTGGCCGATAGTGTCAGGAAGAGCCTCTAGTTCATCCGATTCTTTCAGGCTGAGTCGGATCAGTGATTTCACGTCACACCAGGCGTCCGATAGTTCTTCGAGCCCATTAGTATAACTTATCTCTAGATCAGTCAGTCTGGTGAGTCGGCCAAATGACGTCGGGAGGGCGTAATTCCACGAGGTGGCGAAAGTTAGCTTAGTCAAGGACTTTAGATTGTCGAACAGATCAGGTATATCTTCGACACTCACGCGCCATTTGACCTCTGTCAAGGATGAAAGGCTGAAAAAGGATGGTGGCAAATCACAATCTCTGTTATCGCAGGCTGCCCTTATATCAAGGGAGAGATACTGTAACGCAGTGCACGATGTAAAGAGAGCATCTAAGCCTTCATATGTTAACCCTTCTTCAAAACCGTTGCTCAGGTCAAGATGAGTTAACCTGGGACAGACAGACCCTAGGCCGCGGATGAAATCGTCATTGTTCGGATCGATAACACACTTGTTGATCGTCAGAGAAGTCAATTCTTCGAACCGGGAGAGAGATTTTAGAAGGTTAGCATCTGCTGTAAGGCAAGGCGGACTGTTGGAGATAGACGTCTGTGCAAGGTAGGCGAGGCGATTCCAACGCTTACAGACCAACGCATGACTGAAGTAGCTGGGTGACTGCTTGTTCAGACAACGGAAAATGAGGCAGATGAGCTCGTCCGGCAGCTGATTAAACGACATTCGCAACATGATGTACTTCTACCGCGATTCGAGACCAGGCGTGGCGACGATGTATTTCTATTATCTCCAACCTCTATTCCACTGAAGTCGGAAAGTAAGAACAAACACAGGATCCAGAGAGGTGGACTTGCGTGAATGGCGTCGGCTGAGGAGGTTTTGGACAACTAAGAATCCGGTCTAGTTTGAGACCTGGCTATTTCGGCTTGGTTTCGCTGTGTGTCTCATCGGATGAAGTTCCGTCGCTCCCGTTTTGCCCGTGGCAACGACGGATCCGTCGCTCCCCCAGCGACGGGTCGGCGGAACTGAAACCCCACCAGATGGGCCTTGTCGGGACCCTCGTCACGCGCGCCAGTTCCCCGTCCCACCTGAACTCCGCACCCCTCGTGCATGTTCCTCATCGGCGACACGGAAACAAACCTGCCTCTGCGAAGGCAAATTTCCAGGAGAGCCAGCTCGCGAAAACATGTGCGAAAGCGAAATTTCAGGTCACAAAAACAAACCCTGCCAAAATCATGCCGTGCGAACGTTGCGACGAGGGTGCGACTCACCTGAACGAAACAGATCGTCCTGCGAAGGGCGTGCGACGCGTGTCGTTGGCTTCGTCAACGTCGTCACTCGTTAGGCGTGAGCAAGGCGTTAGCTGGACGTGGATTCATGCACGAGGTGATCACCACGACCTCTGCCCTGCTGCCACGTGCACCTCAAATCGAGATGCACCGGTTTGGCCGTTACTTCCCCACACGAAATGGTTCCCCGTCAGCAAGCTACACTGACGTTGCGCGGACCCAACACCCCCTACCATCGAAAGCGTTCACGCACGTAAAAATAAAAAAGAAAATAGCCGTGTGCGTAAGGAAATTCACTGTGTGCGTGTACGGTTTGTGTACGGGCAAGGTATAAAATGTGTGTGTTCCCAAAAACAACATGCGCATGGGCATGGGTAAACGGCGTCAGGAATGAAAATAGCGTGCTACAGTTGTGTACGCACGTGGCGAGGTGTTCCTCGTGCACCTGCAGAGGCGTGACAGAGGGACTCGCGAAGTGTTTCGCGTGGGTAAAATGGCTTCGTCAGCGAGAGTCGCACGTGTGCACGACTTTTAGCGGCCAGATCGGACATCGCCTAGGATCGCCCGGTTTTCGCCAGCCACACAAAACTCGTGCCTCCCCAGAAGCAGTTTTGTCTGGAATGCACACCATGCGGACCGTACAAATCTAAAAAACATCGTCAGTAGAACGATGCTGCATATATTTTATTTCGTCCAGAACACCCACGAGAAGCGTGATTCACGTTGGGATGCGAAAATTGAACCTTTTCACCATTCAAGATCAAACATATCATGCACACAACCAAATTTGCAAAGGACACGAAGTGCGTCATACACGTGCATGCGGAATATAAATAAAACAGCCGCACGATGTTCTAGCCCTCAATGACATAAAATCTTTTGCATACGCGGACGCGCCAAACAAAAGACAAGATCCTCGACCGACAAAGATCTGTCCCGACCGATGGAGCGTATGCTTAACTAAATGGGTTGACATAGAACAGGCGTGCATAGGCAAAAATTACCTGTGCACAATGTAAACCAAACGCCGCAAGACATTTTTCCAACCCACGCACCCTATGCATAAATTAAGATTTGTTCCATACCCGGTGTCAAAACTCAACACACCCAACGCACACATAAAAGCACACCTGACGCAAAGGGTGCACACCTAACTCTGCCCACGAGCAAGTTCTGCACACGAAGATTGCCAAACCTGGTAGACATGAAAATGCACGTGAGAGAACTTTGTTTGCGCGCTTTGCACAATTATATCTTGTCGTCTTCGTGTGAACTCAAAAGTTACTGCGTCTGCGCGAGAAAATGTTTGTCGTGGGCAAGTACATTTCTCGTCACCGAATTCTGTACGCCTCTGACGAACACGAAAATATTTGCGTCAGCGCGAGATCGTTTTAGTTGTGGGAAAGTACGTGTAGGGTTTTTAGTCGTGCGACTGATCACGCTTCAGACGATGTGTAGGTATCCACACGATGTGCATAGGTTTCCAGACCCAATAGACCCTATGCTTAACAGAAGATGTTTACAGAAAACAGAATGCGCAAAGGCAAACTCACCCCGTGCAAGATTTTTCGAGCACAATGGATCCCGTGCTTAACAAATTATTTTCCAGACCCAGTGTAGCACACCTACACACAATTCGCACAGGGTTAAAAGTCCCTGCAAAGCCGTTGCGCGTGTAAAAAAGACGTGCGCATAATAAAATTTACTGGTTGTGGGAAAGTTGCGAGTACAACATGTGTGTACGAGCGAGGTACAGTATTTTCTTCGGAGTGACAAACGGT